TTAGGGTTTAGGATATGGTTTACTAAATCTGAATTTCGGAGAATTTAATAAGCCCCGTTAGTTGAATTTTGTCTGTGGCCAAATAGCCCATTTAAATCAGAACATCCGCCGTGAAATTTCGCAAATTCGGCGAACCCGAAACTGGTGGGGAGTTTCTCACTGCCAAATGTCAATGGCGAATCAAAATGGTAATACCTGCTCGTACCTTCATCATCTCACTCACCCCTTCTTCTCTTTTAAGAGTCGGCCTCCTTCCTCTTCTCTTTCAACCCCACGGTTCCAAAACCCTACTCCGTCCTTTGCCAGCAAAACAAATGGACGATTTGTGGTTTAGATTTTACCTGGCTGTGTTAATCTCGTCTGTGATTGCGGCCAGAGCATTCCGCAGGAAGTCTGTCGACCTGTCCGGCGTGGCGGCGGGGATACCGGTCATGGTCATCCATACGGTAGCGGGATATAGGTGATGTTTATTGCTTTTCTTCTAATTATATAGCTTCACGTTTGATTAATAAGTTACACGTCTGACGTCTCTGATCCTTTTTTTGTGCGTTGGTGAAGTGAAGATTTGCGGTGCTGCTTCTGGTTTTCTTTTTCTCGTCATCGAAGCTTACGCGGGTTGGAGAGGAGAAGAAGAGGGCAGTGGATGCTGAGTTTAAGGAAGGAGGTCAGCGGAATTGGTGAGACGTCCTTTATTATTTTGTTTCTTTCTGCGTCTTATAGTTTACTAGGCGTGCTTTCACGAAGGTCAGTATTTTGTAGTTGTTTCTTGTTTTGGATTGAATTGTTAGCTTCCAAGTTAGATTTGTATTTCCTTACATGTGCCATTTCTGTTTTGATGGTTTGGTGAATTTTGGACCTTTCGTTGGAGATCTTACATTGGACTGCAAAGCATACTTTTTTCATTTATTTTTTTTGTTTCAAGCTGGAGCTAAGCTCGAACGTTGTTTTAGCTTCAAAATATTGTTTAAGCATGTTTTTGCTAACTCTTTCTTGCTGGAGTTTATATCATACTGGCCTTGTTCAACCTCAACTAAACATACAATTTCACTACTATTTAAGAAAACGTTGTTCATTTCCATGCATAAAATTTCACCGAGTTCGATAAGTATACAAATTTTAGATCTTTATAAAATTTTTAAGCAGGGCAATGAACAAGATTGGAAGGAAAAATCAATGTAGTTTAGTACGTATTTGAAATATGCTTCCATTCCGTAATTGCTCTATTAATATTTTACACATGAAATACAAACAATGGATACATGGTCTATATAAAAGAATTAATTAAGAGTAATAGATGAGCATTATATTTAGTTCTCGCAAAGGTTGTTGTTGGGTAACAAATATGCATAGAAATGAACAGACATTTAAAATAGTTTGGCAGGCAACAGGTAGGGTACCCGTGAGTAAATTGACCACTTACCATTCTGTATTCAGAGGCAAGTAGTAAAAAATGATTATTTGTACCCGATTCTTGATGGATATCAATATTCGTTAGATACTTGATATCTGCTAGAATAAAAATATGTAAAAAATGAAAATTAATTATTCTCCCCTTTAAATATTCACAAATATATATATAAAAAAAACAAACACGCCTAATATACTATACATTTTGAAACAGTAATGTTAACAAAATAAAAAATCATATCCCAACAACATAGTAATCTAAAGTCACTATTAAATTTTAAATCCTAACTGCATAGTATTTGATATTTGATAGGGTTTGGTGTGCTTAGGTATCCATCAGATTTATATCAAATCGTATTGGCTAATCAAATGCATAATAGTTTAAATACCAAACCCAAATAACCATCATATCATATTAAATTATTGGGATTTACTATTGGATTCAGTTCGATAGGCTATGCCATTGATAATGAATTGTTGTCATCCCTAACAAACCTGCATTATTTGGTCAAGTTTCAAAAATATATTGGCTTGTTCCTTTGAGAAAGCAAATTGGCATAAACAAACCCTAGCCCAATTGACCATCAAGATGCCGGTTAAGAATACTAATTAAGCTACATTCCTAAGCTTAAACATAACATGTTATTAAATGATTTTGCAGTTGGATCTCATTTGGATTCATTGATTCTTTGTACTTGGTAATCCCAGGATGAAGTCAACGCTCAAATCTTCCCAAATGGAATTGAGCACAGATAGAGGAGAATACAATCCAATGTTTTGACTTATACCTTTAAATTGTTGACAGATGGAGCATCGCTCCACATAACGAGAGACATCACGTTGAAATCATGGCCTATTGAAGCAATCCTAAAGTTACAAAAATGTATTGTATTGACCAAGGTTGGTTGCTAGTCCTCCATTGTGAGCTTCTTTAATGAGTTGTTGTCTGATACACAAAACAAATTTTCTTTGAATAGAAAGCTATGGCGGATTGTATATCTAGGAATTAGACTATTGTTTATGAATTTCCCCTAGATTGTAGAGAAATCCTTGTCATATGGATAGTGCTATTTAGGCAGGCCAAACCAATGAGTTATGTGTGTAATTGGACAAGGCGGATCATCTGCTTAAGTCATGATAACTCGGTTAAGTGTATTGGACTTGTGTTTATGTACGAAAGTGAATTTTTGCAAATAAAGAACCCAGCAGACATGCAATCTGCTTTTATTCTTCTAACTTTTTATAAATTGCAAGGCTTGATGATCACTACACAGCTCAAAGTCTTCATGCAAGATAAAATGTTCCCAGTTTTTTAAAGCTTTTACAATCGTATTCAATTCTTGTTCATAAACCATCCATTTTTGTTGTGTAGAGCTCAACTTCTTGCTGAAGTATTCTGCAAGGTGGTCTTGTTGTGATAATACAACTCCTATGTCACCATTGCGGAGGCATATGTGTCAACCTAAAAGGTTTTTCAAAATCAGGAAAGGCAAGGACTTGAGCTGTACTCAAAGCAAGTTTGATAACTTCAAAACTTCGCTATCTTTCGTCAGACTATGATAACATCTTTTCTTTCAAGCACTCGGTCACTGGAGCCATGAGGACGTTGAATCATCTTATAAAGCATTTGTAAAAAATTGCGAGCCCATAAAAACTGTAGATGTCAAAGAGTGAACGAGGTGTAGGCCAGGTCATGATGGCTGAAACTTTAGTTGGATCCATTTGTATACCTTTGGCCGAGACAATAAAATCCAAAAATTAGACTTGTGGCGCATCAAATTTACATTTAGGAAGGTTAAGATATAATTTGTGTGTCCAAAACATCTCAAAGATTTGAATTAAATGAGTAATGTGCTTAGCTAATGTAGGACTATAAACAAGAACATTATCGAAGTAAAGGGCACAACATTTACCCAAGAAGGATTAATACATACTTCATGAGTCTCATGAAGGTAGAAGGAGCATTGCACATACGAGAGGGCATCACCTTCCATTCATATAGACCTTGGCAGATCTTGAACGTTGTTTTCCACTCGTCTCCCGGCCTTATGCGAATTTGATTGTAACCACTTTGTATATCTAATTTAGAGAAAATGGTGGAGCCAATTAATTTGTCCAATAAATTTTCTATTAGTGGCACCAGGTAGAAACACTTAATTGTAATTTCATTAATGGCTCTACTATTGACACATATGTGCCTTTTTTCATCTTTTTTTGGGACTAGTAATGATGGCATTGCACATGGGCTCAAGCTCGGTTGAAGAGGTTGTTTAGCCAGTTATTCATCCACTAATTCTTGTAGGATACCATGTTTTTAAGACTCATCTTATAGTGTGGTAAATTGGGCAAGGAAGTATTTGGATTGAAGTCTATATGGTGTTGTAAGGCTCTAAGTGGAGGTAGCTATGATGGTAGTTCTTCAGGTCCTATATTTGTAAATTGCGTCAAGATGTCTTGGATAGGTTTCAATATTCCAGTTGGTGTGCAAGTTTCGGTTTGTTCTGTAATTAATAAAGAAAATATGGTACCAGTCTCTCGGCCTGCATGCAACAGAGTAGCTCCAGAAATGATATTAAAAGCTGATTTGTTTGTGTTAGCTTTGGCGGCCAATTCACTGGTGTTTGGCCACAACCATAGGTTTTTTGCCCTTCCACTCAATAGATAATTGTTTTGTCTACAATCATAGATGAGACCAGTGTCAAATTGCTATGGCCGATCAAGAATAATATGACATACATCCATATCAAGAATATCACAAAATGCTTCACAAACATATTGTTTGCTGATGGAGAAAGTAACTCGACACACCCCATAAACTACAATTTTAATGCTTCTTTTTACCCAACTTATTTTATAGGGATGCGGATTTTAGGTAGTCTTCAATTGTAGAGCTTGAACTAGATACCGAGAAACAATATTTTTGGTACATCCATTATCAATTTACATATCACATACCTTACAATTCAAAGTATATTGTGTGCGAAAAATAACTTTACGCTGAGAATTGGTGGGTGTAGACAACAATTTCCCTTCATCATCCACCTATTCTTTGATTTCAGCTTTGTTGTCATATTCTAATTTATTTTCATCTACTTCCCTTTCAACAAGATGCAATTGTTGTCTGCTTGAGCATTCATTATGTAACAACCCGAAAATGAGAAGTATTTTAAAATATGAAGTTTTTAAATTTCTGTTTAAGTTGTAGTGCTTCAGGGCTGTTCTTGTGAGCGTTGCGACATTAGGTTTGAGAGCAAAGCAGCGCCAAAAATTGTCGCTGCGGTGTTTGAGTCTCTGTTTCTACAATAATTTTGAATTCTGCATGCAACGCTACAGTGTTGGATCTGAGAGCTGTGATGCTAGATCATTAACAATGTTTTTATTTATTTTTTATTCTAAATATCTATGCCATTTCACCCCACTGCCTCTCATTCTTTACTTGCTCGGGAAGAAATTGAAGGAAGAGGAAAGAGAATAGGAGAGAGAGAAAGTTTGTTGGGGCCTTTTTGTCCATCGTTTCTTTTACAAAAAGTGTTCTAGTTGTTGTAACTTATCCTCTTGCTTCTACCATTGATGATTTTGGTTTTTACGGATTTTATCTCTTCTAAATATGATAAAAATGCATTATCTCCTATAGGGCTGTCAAAACCGGGTTACGTCGAAATTGACCTGGGTACATACGAGTCAACCCGAATCCGACCCGTTTTTTAAAACAGGTCATTACGTTGGACCCGAACCTGACCCGCTTCAGGTCCGGGTCAACCCGACCCGACCTGTATGATGAAAAAAAATAAAAAAAAAAGTTTTTTTTTTAACTTAAAAATAAAATATACACAATTTAATTAATTTATAAATAATTTATAATTACAGCCTATGATGCATCGACACGGCACTTAAAGAGGGTATGCATTGTCGGACACGGACATGCGTCGGACACGGCATTGGAGTGTCGGAATTAAAAAATTAAAATTAAAATCGGACACGCATGTCCGATTATTAAATGAGGTATCGCTAGTTACATGCTCGGTACCGCTCAGTACATGCTCGGTACCGCTCAGTACATGCTCGGTACCGCTCAGTTGATGCTCGGTACCGCTTGGTACATGCTCGGTACTGCTAGGTACATGCTCGGTATCTTCCCATACAAACAACTTACGAACTTTAAAAACAAGCAGAACTTCAAAATTCTTAGTAACAAAAAAAAAAAAATGCACGACGCATAAGTCATAAAGAAAACCGCAAGACTTAAGATAAGCTGAGTGATAGATAAACC